GAAGTATGTTAATATGTTATTTATCTTAGCTGTTCTTGTTGTTTTAATTTGTATTTCTCATATTAGTATTTTACAACATTCTAACACTATTTTTCTCAAACTGAATTAAATAGTACAATAAGGAAGATTCCAGTCTGCTTTACTACTGAATAATTTTAGAAGAAATTTTAATAAACATTTACCAGGATAAGTGAATATTATTTCCCAGGAGATATGTAATATTCTGCTATTTAAATCACCCATGTACTATCTGTACATATTAGCTATCTACTTATTCATTGGATGATTTGGACTACAAAAGGTAGTAGTGATTACCATTAAAAATAATACATATCATGCTTCACAAAACTACAATTCTGTTTCTTATATAATTGACATTGAGAGACATTCTCTACTTTAGAAGAATCAGAAAAGTCAGTATAGTTACAATTATTGATGTATCTCTTATTCTAAAATCCATTTTCTTGAACAAAGTACACAGAAGATAATATTCTATGTAAGCTTTGAGAATTATGAAATCAGGGGAAAAGGTGCTGTTTTAGTTATATTATAATTTGCTAGGGAGTAAAGAAATGTGTTTTGTGGATTTTTTTCCCCCAATGCAATCTACCTTCTTAAATCCCTATACTGATAAATTTTAAGATATACTGAATGGTTGTTTTTAAGATTTGTGAAGAGTATTTTTGCAGGTAAAATTTTAAAATTTAATTCAAAAAGCAACTTTGAACTATATTTTATTTTATGTATTTTATTTTACATATTTAAATGCTTCCTGGATTTTTTATATCTATATGCTTTCTGGATAATACACATATACATATATCCACACGTACATATTAAACATATGTATATACACACATATATATCTGAAACAGTTTATATTATTATATAGCAGTTTATTATTCTTGATTGATGTTATTGTCAGTTAACTGCCCAGTTTAGCTTCATGTGTGAAAATAATAGTCATAAGAACTAATCAATCCTTGAGATGTTCTCACTTTATTCATTTGCTTAAATTTCAGGTGTTCCCGAGAAGCCTCAAATTAGTGGATTTTCATCACCAGTTATGGAAGGAGACTTGATGCAGCTGACTTGTAAAACATCTGGTAGTAAACCTGCAGCTGATATAAGATGGTTCAAAAATGACAAAGAGATTAAAGGTAAGGAATGGGAAAAGTCCCCAAATCAAAATTAATATGCTAAAACCAGTATGACAAATTGAAATAAGGGTATTTCACATTTTTTTTCTTCAAGCCACAGTATCTTTCTGATTAAGTGTAATTTGAACCAGATTTACTCATTAAAGTTAGGAAATTTTATAAGATCTAGTAATATATTAATAAAATCTCCATGTGCTTCATTTTTCCCCTTTGTAAAACAGCCTTAAATATATTCCTCAGGAAAGATGGAGAGAATAAATGAGTTAATATGTGCAAAAACACATAGATTCATGCTTCACAATAGTAAGCACTAAGTACATTTTAGATATTATTTCAGAACTCATATAGTATTTATATTACACATAGGCAGAGAAACTGAATGAATTATTTCTTCAACTTACTGGTTTCTGGAATTACAAAATTCTGAGAATAAAACCGGCTAAGCATCAATAATTCTCATTCCTCGTAATTTTCACAAAAAGCAAGAAAAAAAAAGTACTCGTATTAGTAAATATGCATAATAATTTAAACACTTCATATACCTAAATTTAAACACACTAATTCTTTTAGGGAGGAAATAAGTTTATAGGGGAGATGGCTCTTATGATTAGTAGTTTCAGGGGTTTTTTTTTGTTTGTTTCTTTTTACCCATATGCAGATATCTTGGACCAGATGTCACATATAAATTATTCAAAAACAAGAACTATTTATTATTGTTAAAACTTGTTTCCTATGACACAGTAATATGTATAATTCTCAGCATAATCTTCTATGAGACAGGTTTATGAAAACCATTCTGATTATTTTAACTTGTAATTCTAACATTTTATATCAGATTATTTTTTTAATTTTTAGTAATGGGCATGCAGGCCCAGCAAAAAGGATTGTCTATATTACTGAGAAATTATTGGATTATAATCTATATAATTATTTTATCTATTTTCTATCTTAATTACTTTCTCTTTTTATATGTATATATTTTTTTTCCCAAAACAGGGCTTTATCTATAATTTAAGCCTAATAACTACCTCTGTCTTAGAACCTCTAATAAACATGTGTTCTTGGTCCAAGTTTTGAGAAATACAAGCCTCAAGACAAATGCTATGCTAAATTAAACTTTCAGATTACTATATAACCTGATTCTTGTATTCTGCCACTACTCAGTAACATCCATTCTAATTCTACCTCTAGGATACGTTTGTTTAGCATTTCTGGACTTGGTTAGATATTTTCTAAACGGGCTTTCCACACTGCTTCCAGAATTATCTTACTACAGCAAGAATCTGATCCAGCTACTTTTCAGCTTAAGCACTTCTGATGGAAAGCCCTAAACTGCAGGATAAGTTTAAAATCCACTTTCTGTAGACTATAAGAATCTCCAGGCAGTGAATTTTTATACATCAAATATGTCCTTTTCCCCCCATGTATTTTAATTGTGGTAAAACATATCTAACATAAGAATTTCCATTTCAAGCATTTTAAAACATATGATTGCATGGAATTAATTACATTCAAAATGCTGTGCAACTACTACCTCTATCCATTTCTAAAACCTTTTCATCATCCTATATATAGACTCTGTGCCCATTAAACAATAACTTCTCATTATTCCTGCCCCTCAACCCCCCCATTCCTGGTAACCTCTAATCTACTTCTTTCTCTAAAGTATTTTTTAATTTATTTTTTCTTAATTGACCCATGATAATCATATAAACTTATGGAGTACAATATGATATTTGGGTACATTTATACAGTGTGCAATGATCATATCTCAGTATGTGGCATATCTACCGCCTCAAACATTTGTCACCTCTTGTGTTGGGAACATTCAAAATCCTCTCAACTAGCTTCTTGAAGTTATTTGTTGTCGACTGTAGTCTTTCTATATTGCTATAGAACATTACAGCCTATGCTTCCTATCTCTCTACAGTTTTGTGTATAATTACCACCCTCTCCCCATCCTCTTCTCCCCCATCCCCTTACTAGTCTCTAGTAACCACTATTCTACCCTGCACTTCTATGAGATCAACTTTTTCAGCTTCCATATATGAGTGAGAGCATGTGGTATTTTTCTTTCTGTGCCTGGCCTATTTCACTTAACATAATTTTCTCCAAGCTCATCCATGTTGCTGCAAATGGCAGAATTTTA